TAATAGATTTCTAAATTTACCAATACCTTGTTTTTAGGATTTTTGTGTGAGCATGTGGCTTATACTTTTGTTGTAATGGCATTATTAAGCTTTAATGACAAGATCACACTTGCCTCATAAAAGCAACTTTTTATTTTTTTTTTAATGTTTGGAAAATTTCACTAGTGAAGCCATCTGGACCCAAAATTTTTTCTATGGAAAGATGTTTAACCACAATATAATTCTCTTAATATTTAGGTTATTAAATCTGAACTGCCTAATTTCAAATCAAAAGTTTATTACGTCTGAAACAAAAAGCAGTACAATTAAAGCATGTGCCTATTTACACAGTTTTGCCATCTTAATAAGTAGCTTATTTATGCCAGCAGCAAAGAAGCATGGTAAGTGAAGATGAAATTGTGAAAGGTATTTTCCACTGCCTGTTGCAATTTGAATATTTTTCCTTGCAAAAAGTGGCCTAACAACTGGTAGAATTGGTAGTCAGTAGGTCATGGAAGAAGCCCAAATGCCCATCGACCCACGAATGGATCAATAAATTGTGGTACATGTACACCGTGGAATACTATGCAGCCCTAAAGAAAGATGGAGACATTACCTCCTTCATGTTTATATGGATGGAATTAGAAAATGTTCTTCTTAGCAAAGTATCTCAAGAATGGAAGAAAAAGTATCCAATACACACAGCCCTATTTTGAAACTAATTCATAGCTTTTATAGGAATGTCATAACCTAATTATAGCCTTAGAATATGGGAAGGGGGTAGGAGAGGGGAGGTAAGGGGGGGTGGATGAGGGAGGGAGGGTGATTGGTAGGGTCACCTCTATGGTTTATCTTACAAGGGTACAAGTGAATCTTTGTAAAAGCAGAGTATGAATGTCTTAACTCAATAACTAAGAAAACGACATGAAGGTTATGTTAACCAGTTTGATGAGAGTATTTAAAAATGTATATGAAAACAGCACACTGTACCCCTTGATTGCATTAATGTACACAGTTATGCTATAAGAAATTAAAAAATAAAAATAAATAAAAAAGAATTGGTAGTCAGTTGGTGCAAGGTCTGGTGAATATGGTAGATGACAGAGAGTTTCCAAATCTAGCTCCTGTAGTGTGAGGAGTGTTGTCTTGCAAGAGGATTGGCCTGTCTCTATTGACCAACCTCAGCACTTAATCACAAGCATCCTCATCATGTCATCCAATTGGTTGAAGTAGACATCAGCTGTTATCAATCGACCCAATTTCATGAAGCTGTAGCGGACAATACCAGTGCAGGACCACCAAATAGACACCATTAGCTTTTATTGATGAATATTTGGTTTTGAATGGTGTTTTGGCACTTCATCTTTATCTAACCACTGTGCCAAATGCTTGTGATTGTCAAAAAGAATCCATCTTTCATCACACATAACATTACAGTGTAGCAATGGTTAACCTTTATGTAGCGACAGCAAAGAAAGGCAAGCGGACGCTCATTTAATGCTCATTAATTCATGTGGAACCCATCAAGCTGGCTTCTTGACCTTGCTGATTTGTTGCAAATGGTCCAAAATCATTGTAACAGTAACATCAAACTTTGCTAATTCACACTTTGGTTGAGACAGACTCGCTTGCAGGACAGCTTTCAGCTCATCGTTATCCAAATGGTCTCCGGTTGCCCAGACGGCTCATTTTCAAGCGTAAAACCACAAGAATGCAATCTCTCAAACCACTGAGGGACTGTGTGTTCTTTAGCCACATCTTTGCCAAACACTTTGTTGCTACGTATTTCACACTAACTCTACTGCACTGGTTCCCAAACAGAATTCATATTTGAAAATAACATGAATTTTTTACTTATCCGTGGTTTCACAAAAATTGCTCTAAAATTTTTGAAAGATAATCACAAGCCAAAACGTGAATTTGAAAGAATGAGAATCTACCTTCAACAACAACAACAACAACAACAAAAATACAAATGTCAAAATGTCACAGATGTCAAACTTTATTTAAGGAAATTGGACATTTCCTTAAATAGGTGTGAAATTGGACATTTCACACCTAATAACCCAAGATACGGGACCATTCAGATTTTCTAGTTCTCATGGCTCATGTGAGATATTTTATTTGAAAACCTTATCCATTTCATCTGAATTCCAAATGTTTTATCACAACATTGTCAAAGCAAGATTTTAAGATCGTTTAAATGTCTGAGGGATGATAATTCCTTTTTCTTTCCTGACACTAGTAATACCGTACACCACTAAGGTTCATTTCCATTCACCAAAAAAAAAAAAAAAGGGGGATGACTTTGACACTATGACACACAAATCTCAGGAACACTGTCCAGCAGTGTTACTCACAGAAGGAGCAGAGCAGGTATAATGTAAACAATCCAACAACTCCCTCTCAAAAGCTTTTATCATTAGCAATGACCATGAATCTGAGCAAAAGGAGACACTAATTGAAGGAGGAAACTGCTATAGGTAATGTGCTAGGGTGGCCAGCAAGAACTTAAAGAAAAATAACCACCCCAACCCCAGCACAGTTGTAAGCTAGGATACCCAGCCCTCCACTCCCAAGGTAACCAGAGATAGAACTGAGGGAGCCATGAGATCATACATTTTTTTTTCTCATTCATCTTTATTTTCACAATCCTGCAGCTGAAAAATTAACATTTCACTGGATTATAAACGGGGACAACAAACCAGAGTAAGACCAGGTCTGGTGACTTTGTCGCCAATAAAATCACAGATACTTTACTATCACAGCACAGTTGCTGCAGACACTGCAGAATTATCATTTGTATGAGCATCACAGATTGAAATTATAAGAATTTTTAAAAAAGGAATTATTTGCTATAACACTGAATTTCGATACAAAATGCATTAATAAAGAATAGATCATACTCACAACTTTTAAATACTATTTTGATAATTTTGTTTAGATATCATTTATGACCCTTTTTTAATGCCTCATCAAACACTGACTTCCCCAAAACTCCAAAGAGGTCCAAGGCACAAAAGAAAAAAAAAGAGAGAGAGAGAAAGATTAAGAATACCTGGGAGGAATCAAAGATTTCACATTTCAAGCAAGGCAGGGAAATCAAAAGCAATCACTCCCCGCTGGGCCAGGCCCCTGCTGACTAGTTCCTGGTGTTACTTCCAGAGCTCCCACCAACATCCAGCCACCCACAAAAATAACTGCCCCTCCAGAGACTTGGCCTTCACCCTCGGTTGAACCATTTAACCTACTTCCCAAGAAAAGAGCAAAGTAAAACGTAGATAAAGCACAGGCTTTGGGCAGCGCCTGTGCCTCAGGGAGTAGGGCGCTGGCCTCATATACGGAGGGTGGCAGGTTCGAATCCGGCCCCGGCCAAATTGTGAAATAGCGAGGCGTTGTAGCAGGAGCCTATAGACCCAGCTACTCGGGAGGCTGAAGGCAAGAGAATCACCTAAGCCCAGGAGTTGGACGTTACTGTGAGCTGTGACGCCACAGCACTCTACCGAGGGCCACAAAGGGAGACTCTGTCTCAAAAAAATAAATAAAAATTTTTAAAAATCACGGGCTTTGAGCCAAAAAAGGAATGTCCAAAACTGGGCCCTGACACGTACCACATTGTGCCCTTCATGCCCTACCCCCCAGTCTTCCCACTGTGAGAAGAGATGACATTCCCTAGCTTTCCCAGTTACTCTGAGGTTTAGAAACAACGTACCCAAAGCAACTGACAAGCATATCGTTGCCTTGAGTTAACATTAGTTGAATCTCTGGGGTCAAAATTGTCCCAATCCCACATTTAACTCACAGTTACGTGCTAGCAAAGAGAAAGGAGGGAGAAAAATAAGAAAGTTGGAACATGAAGAATGGAAAGGAAAAAAGTCATTCTTCTAAGTCCAGTATGAAAACCACCACTTCTTCAGTGAAGCCTTCCCTCTTCTCCTCCTGACCCCGTAGCACCTGATCACGTGGCAGTGGGTGCCTCGTTCTGAGAATGAATGAAAAACACTAAACAGAAAAGGCAGAAACAATGTTTCACCCCCATATAATGCAAACCACCAAAGATGCCAACTCCTTAGCAGTACAATCTTAATCCAGAGCAAGGAATACAGGGAGCAGTGCGTTGAACACCAATGCCACCTCCAGTGCCTTGGGGGAAAGCCGGCTTTGCCACATAAACAGCAGTGCCAGCTGAAGGCTGGACTCAGAAGAGATGAGGGAAAGTAAGTCCCAAGAGTAGAAAGCAAAAGAAAGCTCTAGCTTTAGGGTTCCTGGAGTAGCAGCAATCAGGCAGGCGCACCTCCAATACTTTTCAAGGGGACCAGACCATGCAATTCCCCACAGCAGTGCTGGAAACTGGGGAGGAAGCCAAGGAGACAGGGCACGAGCGGGGCGCGCGTGGACTCGGCGGGGCAGGCGGGAACCCGGGCAGCGGCGCCCTGGCCCTGCCACCTTTGTCTCCTCCGCTGGACCGGGACTTCCTCCGTCCCGCCCTCTGGCGTGCACGCTGGAATTGGGGTAGGAAATGGAAAGCGTCTCGTACACTTCTTTTTAACGTGGTAAATCAAAGCGGAGAGTCAGCTCCTAATCTCCCCCAGGACGCCCTAAGGTCACCAGCTACCAACCTCGGGGCCCTCCCGGGCGGCGGCGGCGACGTTCCCGCGCGCCACGGATTCCCCACTCCCCCACCCCGCGCGCACTTCCGAGTCCCGGCGGCAGCGGCGGCCGCAGCGGGGTTTCCCGGGGATCAGAGCCGCCCTTTGCCCGGGTAGTCCCGCGCGCGTCCCCCGGGCGCGCCCCCGCCCCGTGCCCGCGCGCCCCCCGCGCGGGGCGGCCGGCCTCTGGGCCCCGCCGCGTTCCCGGGCGGCGGCGAGCAGGCCGGGGGAGGGGAGGCGGGAGGGCGGCAGGCCTCCCCGCCCCGCGCAGCCCCGGGGTCCCGCGCCAGCCCGGCGCTCAGACCTCTCCCCGCCCCGGGTGTTCACTGCAGGTCTGCGGCTGTCTGCAGAGGAACTGCACGGCGAAGTCACCTGAAACTCGAGGTGGGCCGTCGATCAACCTCAGTGCTCCCCACGGTGGTTTTGCAGGCCGAAGGAGGTAGCTCGGTGGGGTGGGGAGAGGGCGGGCTCTGCGGCGCTGCGGCTCCCTGGAGCTTGCAGTGTGATCTTAGCCCGCTGAGCCTCCCGGCCACCTCTGTGAGACAGAAGTAAGCTGCCCTGTTTCCCTTCGCAAATTAGGGTGGAAAGCAAATGGAATGAAGTTCATGAATTGTAAAACAACTTACAGAGATCACTACTGCAAAATGGATACCAGCGGTTTTGAATGCCTGGTGAGAGTGGACAATCATGAGGATGCCTCGACGCGCTGGAATTAGGATGGTGTCTTTTTATAAGCCCGCGCCAAGGGCCAGAACTTGCCAGAGTTCCACCGATTTACCTGAGCAGAATCACCTGGGCTCTCTTGAAAACCTCGGGCTTCTTGACCTCTCCTCAAACCAGAGGAATCAGACTGGCCAGAGGAGGGGCGTCTCAGGTGGTTCTGCGACGAGATAAATATGGATAACCCTGCCTTGGACAGCAGTTCCCTGAAGCTGTGCTCCGAGAAATTTAATCTAGCGTCATTGTTACTGTCTAGGGGATTATCTTTCTGATTGCAAAATTCTGTGGGAAACCACAGCATGAACTCTCTAGGAACTAGAACAGTCTTCTCTTTCACCACCACCACCGCCACCACCACCCCAGCATCTAGTACAGGAAGAGTTCAGGAAGCAGGTGTTTAAAGAGTGTCAGATTTGAAAAATAAAACTTAAAATTTAATCTCACATAAACAGTGAGTAAGCTTTTAGCATCAGTATATTGAACGCAGTATGCTGAAAAATGTTGGTGTTTATCTGAAACTCGAATTTAACTGGGTATTGAGCAACTCCAAGGCTTTGGAGGAGAAAGAACTCAGCTCAAATAGCACCAGATTCACAGGCAGGGATGGGATGACAGCTCCTACATCATTCCTAATTGAGGCTATGAGATGTTAAGATAGGTTGGCAATCATTTATACTTAACCCTACCTCCACACACAGGGTGTTCCCTGAACAAAGGAAAGGAAAGATAGATTTGACCACAGGCAGATCAGAAACATCCATTAAATAAAAATAGCCAAGATTTAATAGTAAGCAATAGACTGGGAAAGTATTTGCAAGAAATATGCAAAATGTTTTCTCATTATTATATATAATAGATTTAATATTATTAAAAAGAAAACACTAGAAGGCAAGTGAAGATGAGCAAGACATGTGAATAGATAATCCACTAAAAAAAAAGACGAACATAAAATTAGGAAACAAACACTGCAAAAAGCTCAAGGAAATGTATGGTAAGCTAAAACACGCAGTTTTTCATAAAGTAGGGAAAAATAAATGACATTAAAGGTTAACAAAGGCTCTTACACAATATTTAGGTAGGTATTTAGGCTTCTTGGGAGGCTGCAGCAGGAGGATCAGTTGAGCCCAAGAGTTTGAGGTTGCTGTGAGCTATGATGACAATATCAAAGGGATTTGACAATATCAAAACCTTTAAAATATATCAAAATCCTTCAGAGTGCTCAAACTTTCTGATTTTGAATTCTACTTATAGGCATAAATGTAAAGAAAATAGTGTATACTATAGAAAATGCTTTCCTAGCCAGGTATTTAGCTCATGCCTGTAACCTTAGCACTCTGGGAGACAGAAGCAGGTGGGTTGCTTGAGCTCAGGAGTGCAAGACCAGCTTGAGCAAGAGTGAGCTCTTGCCTCTACTAAAAATAGAAAAACTACGCCCAGGATGGTGGCTCACACCTGTGATCCTAGCACTCTGGGAGGCCAGGGCAGATGGATTGCCTGAGCTCACCAGTTGGAGACCAGCCAAACCCAGAGCAAGGCCTCATCTCTAAAGATAGCCAGGCGTTGTGGTGGAGACCTGTAGTCCCCGCTACTTGGGAGACTGGAGCAGGAGAATCACTTAAACCCAAAGATTTGAGGTTGTTGTAAGCTGTGACACCATGGCAGTCTACCCAGGGTAACAAAGTAGGACTCTGTCTCCAAAAAAAAGTAGAAAAACTAGTAATCATCAGCACCTGTAGTCCCTGCTTCTTAGGTGGCTGAGGCAGGAGGGTCACTTGAGCCCAAGAGTATGAGGTTGCTGTGAGCTATGATGATGCTACAGCACTATACCCACGGTGAAAGAGTGAGACTCTGTCTCAAAAGAATAAAAAAACAGTATTAAGAGTTTCCTACATTTATTTGACCAAACAAAAACTATAAGAAAAAAATATTCTTCCTTTTTGAGGTGTAATATTAATAAAAACGTATTTACTCAAGGTGTACAATGTAATGTGTTGATATATGGATACATTTTGAAATGATTACTACAATTAAGGTAATATGTCCATCCCCTCACATGATTACATTGTGTGTGTTTGTGGATTTTTTTTTTTTAAGTTTTTTAAAAAATTTATTTATTTATTTATTTTTGCAGTTTTTTGGCCGGGGCTGGGTTTGAACCCGCCACCTCCAGCATATGGGGCCAGCACCCTACTCCTTTGAGCCATAGGTGCGGCTCTGTAGAATTCTTAAGATCCAATTTCTTAACGGATTTTGTATCAAGAATGTGATAAGTAACCTTGCTATCATATATTAGGTCTCTAGAACTTAGAACTGCAAGTTTGTACCCTTTGACCAGCATATTCCTCTTTCCTGCATGCTGTGACCCCTGTTCTGCTTCTATGAGTTGGACATTTTTTTTTAAATTTCAGACGAATATGAGGGTACAAATGATTAGACTACATTGTTTGCATTGTTGGGCAAAGTCCAAGCTGTAGTTGTGCCCTTCGCCTAGGATGTATACTATGTACCCTTAAATTGTACCCATTAGGTAAGAGTTTACCAGTTCCCCTCCCTCCTCTTCTCTCCTCTCTCCCTTCTCCCGCTTCCACGCCATTTGAATTTAATTGTGTTTCTCCTTTCAGATTCCACATATAAGATCATGTGGTATTTATCTTTCTGTGTCTGGCTTATTTGACCTACTACAGCATCCTCCAGGTTCAGACAAATCACAAAGAGGCGAGATTTCCTTCTTTTTAAGGCTGAATAATATTCTATTTTACATATTCATCTGTTTATCCATTCACCTATTGTCGGATACTTATGTTATTTCCTTATCATTTCTCCAGCTCCTGGAAAACACTATTCTCTCTCTGTCTCTGAATTTGAGTACTTCAGGTAGCTCATGTAAAGTAGAATCACATATCATTTACCTTTTTGTGCTTATTTCATTTAGCATAATGTCCTTAAGCTTTGTCCATATTATAGCATATGTCAGAATTTTCTTCCTTTTTAAGACTTATAAGATTCCATTGAAAATGTGTACCATACTTTTACCTTCTCATCCACCTGCAGACTCCTGGATTGCTTCCATGTTTTGGCTATTGTGAGTAACGCTGCTGTCAACATGAGAATACTCGTATCACTTTGAGACTCTGCTTTTAAACCTTTGGGGTATATACCCAGAGGTTGAGGTGCTGGATCATGTGGTAATTCTATTTTTAATTTTGTGAGAAACTGCATACTGTTTTCCATGGAGGCTATTCCGTGTCACATTCCCAGTAACAGTGGTTCCAGTTTGTGTCCTCAATTTGTCCACATCCTCATCAACACTTGTTATTTTCTGGTTGACTTGTTTGTATAATTGCCATGCGGATCAGTGTGAGGTGCTATCTCCATGTGATCTTCATTTCAATTTCTTTAATGATGAGTGATGTGATTATCTTTCGAGTGCTTATTAGTCATTTACGTATCTTTTTTGGAAAAATGATCAAGTCTTTTGCCCATTTTTTATTGTGTTGTTTTGAGTTGTATGAGTTCTTTATACATTCTGGATGGGTACGCCTTATCAGATGTGTGATTTGCAAATATTTTTTCCCATTCCATAACTTGCGTTTACACTCTGTTGATTGTTGTGAAACACAGATTTAATTTTGATGAAGTGCCATTTACCTATTTTTTGTTTTGTTGCTGATGCTTTTCGTGACATATCCAAGAAATCATTACCAAATCCAATGTCCTGAAGCTTGTCCCCTATAATTTCTTCTAACACTGAACAATTAGCAATTGATTGGGCGGTGCCTCTGTCTCAGTGAGTAGGGTGCCAGCCCCATATACTGAGGTTGGTAGGTTCAAACCCAGCCCTGGCCAAACTGCAACAAAAAATAGCCAGGCATTGTGGTGGGTGCCTGTGGTTCCAGCTACTCGGGAGGCTGAGGCAAGAGAATCGCCTAAGCCCAGGAGTTGGAGGTTGCTGTGAGCTGTGACATCACAGCACTCTACTGAGGTTTAAAGGAGGGAACCTTGGTATTCAGTCTCTGAAGTGAGACTCTGTCTCTAAAAAAAAAAATAAAATAAACAATTAATGTTAGTTCAATTAACACTGAACTAGTATTGTCTAACATTTACTAACTATTATAGTTTTAGTTCTTATACAGGGTGTCCGTAAAGTTTCATGGACACCTATATGGTGTTTAATCCTTTCCAAGTTAATGTTTATATTTGGTCTAAAGTAAAGATTCACCTTCATTCATTTGGAAGTGGAGACCCAGCTTTCCCAGCACCACTTGCTGAAAAGCATAGCCAACTTTAAATGGCCAGAGTTTGGAGAGGAAGGAAAGGGTGGTAGGAGACTCTTTTTCTTGGAAGTGAGAGATAGAATCATTGGAATAAACCAATTCTTAATGTCTTACTTCCAGGAGGTAAGTTGGATCTGGGGGATGGGGGGTTAGATGGGAAAGAAGTAAGAAGAAGGGAGGATTTCTCCCCCTCTTCAGTGCTTCACACACAAGCAGAGGGGTTTGGCCTTGGAAGATCCGTACCTGACTTGAAGCAGTCAAGCCGTCAGGACTTCCTGACTTGGAGCCAGAGCAGCCAGCCCAGGGGCCAGATGTGACCCGAGATGCCTTGCTTGAAAGTCTGTTCTGACTGTGCAGACAAAGCTGGGGAGAGTCTTTCCTGGAGTTGAGAAGCAAACTGGAAATAGAATAAATTGA